CACTTATTTCTCTCACATTACCTGTCCAACTGGATACCTTTTTAACCAAGTATGCCATATCTGTTGCTGGACCAGCCACAGTCAAGCCAATCTTTGAATATTTAGACAGCAGAGTGTGAAACTGGTTCAAACTCAACCAGTGCGAACCAAAGCAGCTTGATGCAAAATCTAAGGCACCTGTAAGTTTGTTTATGACTTGATGTGCTAGTTTCCTCCTTTGTTCGGAATCCTGAGAATCGTCGGACTCATCACAGCGTCTGTTAGATAACTGGTCATACTCAGCTGATGAAACCCAGCTTTTTTTCACATTGTTGTAAAAACGCCATTCATCTGCATGATGCGAGTACGACAATGGAATCTCCTTGGCAATATGTCCTCTAACTAGGACGTAATCTGCAAATCCTGCAGAATGTAGGATGCAGTCCAAGTCAAACATATTCTTCTTAAGAACCAAGAAAGAATCTTCAATTGTCTTTGAGTCACACGTTATATCTTTATCTGCTGCAAGTTGCCCAATGTGCTCATTAGGATCCCAATTCAACCAGCATTTTGCAGACTCATCAAAGAATCTTCCATGCGCGTTCTTGTGCGCTAACCCGAGGTTAACACGACGCCCAGCACAAACGATATACAACGGACACAAGGAAAGTCCAAGACTCTTCAATACCTTTCTTCCCACTCTTGCAAGGAAATTATCGTTTATTTTAGATTGATAGCTTCTCAGCAAAGCCGCTGCATAGTTATCAGGGTCAGGCATATCGATAAAAAGAACATGTGTACAGAGAACAAGGTTTAGTGACTTAATGATGGCGACCACAGATGAAAAGACCAAAATTAAAACCAAAGTGACCCAGATGGTGTTAATCTCAAATTCCACTGGTTGACGAGTTACGAACAATACAAATGCTACGATCGCACCGCCAAGCAAAATGACAGGTTTCTGCAGTTGGTTTAGTGGAGAAGACGACATGAATGATGTATATACAGCTAAACTGAGTTTCCTGTAAGCTAATTCATCAAATTTTAGCCCAATAGCTTAGAAATCTTTCCCGAAAACAAATCCCTGATAGCTCAGACCGCAACTTCCGCTCTCGGCCTCCAATGTAAGCACATTCCCACAGTGCATAGTAAGAAATTTCAAAACAAACATGGCGACTGGACTTCTATAAAATTTGCATGAAACTCAAATCAGCTGGGAATGATGTGTGATGGAACGCCACCTTTTGTGAAACAATACCAGAAATAATTTTCAACAGCTTTCAAAAATACCTTCTTCAAATGTTCAAGTTTCTGCGGGGGCAGAAAAAGCAACAAAACACTGAGAATGCAGGCATCCCTGATCCACCCGCGCCAGACACGATAAATTATGAGAACGCAGAGTCTGGTCTTGAGGAGGTGTTAAAGCCTTTATTTCTACACGAAGAGCCGATATCCCCAGAGGAGTTTGCAAGTAAGTGCAATATAGTTGAACTGATTCTTTTGCCTTTTTGCGGGCGCTAAAAATTGCGCGGAGAGACATTCTTATCTAATTTCATTTACCAGCTCCTAAAATGAGCTTTTTCCGACGACTGTCAAATCTATCAAAGAGAGATTCTAGATCAAACTTCAAAACAATTAATTCTACGCCTCCACCGAAAACTACAAGTCCGATTGAAGAAGAAAAGCGTGATATCGGATCAAATGAAGAGGATTCTATATATACAGCGAGATTAGATGATGAAGAAAGCTCTAATGACGCTGTGCCACGAATGACTTCTTGCTTTGGAAGTGAGATCGGGACAGGTAGATCGCTGCAACACTTCGCTATATTGTCAGGAGTCTTAATATGTAGCTGTTATGTATCTTTCAGCGGTGATCAACTGGTCCCAAGATCTGATTGTTAATTCTCCCTTCTAGCTCCTGCACATGTCTCATTACCTTAAAACTGAACTTGAAACTAGAAAAGTAACCATTTAATATCACTAAGTTTACCAACTTTCTTAAATTTCAAAGTGCTTGTGGCAGAAGCTGAGCGACTTTGGGCCAGATTTCAGCAGCTTGGACCCAATGATGAACAAACTTTACCAAATGAGGCGTTTCAACAGCATCTTTTTACATCAGATCCATTTGCAAGACAGGTGACAATTTTCATAACATACTTTATGATTGTTTGATTATGACCGATAGCTACATTTAACTGTTGAAAACTATAGCATTTCTGAACTAAATGGAACAATAGAGATAAACAAATAAGTTATACAAAGTGATCAGCATGAAACCTCTCCTTATAATATTCATACATTAACCAGCAAACAGGTAATGAGAATACTCAAACATATCAGGTAGAGGTTTTTATCCTGATCTAACATCAAATTCTCATAATTAATTTACAAGGAAATGTGTAGCAGCTAGAGGGGAGAATTAATAATGAGATCTTGGGAGTTAAAGGGTTAGTAGAAGGGTTGCTTTTTGAAGCTAGTAGGTGGTGGAAAATTCTGAGATATTTTCTTGACAATTTGCATCATAGATTTTGAGAACTTTTCCAAGAGATGAGAATGGAAGTGTGAACTTCCATGCATTTGTTGGTGTGTTCAACTGGTGGAAAACTGCTCCATTGGACAAGAAACTAGCAGGTATTTATAAGACTGGACAAGTTATAACTGAAGAATGTCAGCAAAAACAGGTATTAATCCTGATTATTAATTCACCCCTCCAGCTGCTGCACATATTCTTGTAAATTAGTTACAAGGATTTGTTGTAAAATCTGGATAACAACTTAAACTGATAACTTTGAGGATTCTCATTACCTGTTTGATGCATTATGTATTGATATCAAAGGGAGAAGTTACATTTTAATCAATTCTGAGAGTTAAAGGATCAACAACAAGTTATCTTTGGTAGTTTTTGTCTTGCTGTATCCTGAAATAAAAATGTCTTGCCTTAGGGGTTGGGTGAAGCTTAAGGCAGGCTGTATTTCAATAAATATTCCGAGAGAGACGTTTTAAATTTTATTGTTGTGATGTCAAGAACTAAGAAGAAAAAGTTGAATATTATACAACATATTTTTGGATAATTTTAAGGAAAATTAACAGTGAATTTGGCCCCCAACATCTCCTCTATTCAAGCATCCTTTGTATTTACTATTTAATCCTTATGAATGCTGAAACTAAGAATTCACTTGTTTCTGTATCACTGGTTTAGGGATTTTTAAATTGCTGAACAAATCACAACCTTTGGATGTCCCTGTGTTACAACAGATCTTGATGTCACTTGATAGCAGCATTGATGAAGTAAGAACAAATATGTTTACAATTTGTGATTGTTAATAATAAAATTAAACCAGTAGTGCAGGTGTAATTTTGGCAGACGAGTGCTCAGTATAATCTTGGTGAAAAATTACAGCTGCCATCTTTGATTTATACAACAGCAAAAGACTGGGAAGAGAAAGGAATTGGTACTAAGGGGGTGAGCAACAGTCAAAAATGGGAGGGGAAAGGGTGGGGTCTTTTTGTCTTCCTCCACCCCCCTCCCCTCATCTTCCACTCTAACTATAAATCAAACATGACCAGTGGATAAATGAATACGATTTTTGTACATTACTGGCCCCAATGAGATGCCTGCACTACAGGCTAGATCAAGTTATTTTTGTGTTTTTCATGGATCAAGATAAAGGTAAGATCTAGGAATTTGCAAAGAAAACAGAATCAAATTAATATATTATTTGATAAGATAGAGGCAGAGGCTAGCAGTTATTCAATAACCTCTTTGCTCCTAAGATCCAAAATGTAATTCTCCTAACTGACTGCCATAAATGCCCTTACAAATTAGACAAGAGAATTAAGTGTTCCATCATGATAACCCCCCCTGAGCTGATAGAGTGGCATGTTTTTATAATCTGTTTGTAAGACAAGACAGGTACTCACCTCTAGGAGCGAAACAATTGTTATCTATGAGATCAAAGAAAGCACTCCAGAGCTTGCCCGGTAGAACACAGAATTTGTCATGTCTTACATGCTTGCGAATCAGCCAACAATAAATAATAATTTTACTTTATTTATGAGGGGTCAAAGTCTTTGCATAAAGCATCTCATATATCAAAGTAAATTTAAAAATGTTGTTTGTTCAGGAAACTGCCAAGTCAAGAGCAGAGCTTCTTGTTAAGACACTAGATGACAAAGATCAGGGTAAGATGCCTGTGATGTTAATTTATG